ACCAGGGGAGGGCCCCCGCTGCCGAACGCGTGGCCTCGGTGGACAAAGAGCGGCTCTGCTTCCCGGCCGGAGCCGTCCCAGCTCTGCGTGTCGTACACTTGCACGGTCCCATCGAAACCTTGAGCGAAAGGGGAGCGGGGAGAGCGCAGAAGTGAGTTGTTCGGCTCGATTGAGCTCACGCTCACCTCCCTGCAGGGCTGCCGAGACACAAACCAGGACGCTTGTGACCAGGATGAGGCGAAACCCGTGACAGCGGAGCCTCCAAGCCTTCCAGGAGCTCGTCGCGCACTAACAGCTGCCGGGGAGAACAGGGGCCAGATCCAAAAAGCCTGTAGATTCCCTCGGCTGAATTTGCCGCGCTCTGACCAAGAGGTGGCCTTGCTGCCCAGCCAGTCCTACCAGCGCAGTATCCCCGCGGCCAGGCTGTCACTGTCACTAGCAGGGCACTGTTTGCTAAGGGCTCGGGGTCTTTGCTCCCCCGGGAGGGAAGCAGGAGTCCCCCAGAACCCCTCCAGGCCCCCTCTGTAGTCGCTGGAGAGAGGCAGCTGCAGAGGACAATTAGCTGGCATCTCTGCTGGCTCCAGGAGGAGCTCTGAACAACCACCCCCTCACTGGGGGTGGTTCTAAAGTAGGGTGAGGTGAACTGCGCCTCGACAGATCCAAAAAGCACCCCGAAAAGGAGATCTCTGCCCAAAACACCTACCTGAAACGGCAAGGCAGCCTTCCAGAGCAGGAGCCCAGGAGACGCACAGGAACTCCGCCCCGGAGCTGGGAGAGGGAACTCTGCACTTGGCCGAGGCCAAGGACTCGGAGGTTTTCCTGACGTCCGTCAGGGTGAGGTGCCCTTCGCTCGAGAGGCGAGCTACGGGCTGGGAGCTGGAGTCAGAGCCTCGAGGCCCGCGCCCGACTCCCATGCACCACCGCTCGCCGCACGGCGCCGAGGGGACGGACGCGGCCTCCGCGGGGCTCCGGACGTCAGCCAGGCAGAGCTGCCCCTTGGCGCAGCACAGGAGCAAGGTGTGGCCATCCAGGAACGCCAGGCCGCTGAGCTCCTCGCTGTTTCTGGAGGCTGGAACAATAAATAAAAGAGAGAGGCAGGTCTCGGATGCCGCGAGGAGCGCTCGGTGTGATTTCTCTGCTGCCACCTTGCCTGCGAAAGCAGCTTCCCGGCCTTGTCCCTGCTTTTAAGCCCTTGTTCTTCGAGAGAGACGGAGAGCCTCTCGAGAATTCTCTCTGTGCAGGATCCACGTGGAGCAGGCCCAGCCTGTGCCTCTCCAAAAGTGACGTTAACCCCCAGGCAGAGGAGACGGGCAGGCCCACGACTAACGCTCGCTCTGTCCCAGCTCCCGTGGGGGACCTGACACGGATCAGGGCTCTGACAGCAGATGTCTCCGGCGCTACCCCTCAGCAGCGGGAGCCACGGGAGTCCCCGTGGCACGGGGACACGGCAGAGCAGTGACAAAGAGACCTTCCTGCTGCTCAGCACCCTGCGTTACAGCCGCTGGACACGTACACACACGTTTTCCTCACCGGGGGCGGGGAATGAGGGGTGTGGGGATTGAGTCTTCCTGCGTAGTGGTCTCCAGGACCCTCAACAAACCAGGCCTGGGTTAACCCCCGCGAGGTAAGGCAGGGCTGGTTTGCCAAGGCTGGCACCATCCCTCCTCCCATCGGCACGGACAGGTCACAGAGCAACACAGAGCTCGCTCAGAAGCCAAGTGACGCCGACTTCCAACGACCCCGAGCGACGGGACGCCGGGGCCAGCACCTCCCTCCTTTGGGACAACACACGCAGCAGCCCCCGGCTCGCCCCATGCTCTGTGCTGAAACCACCTACGGCGCTCTCGCAGGGCCCAGATCCGGGGCAGAAGCCTGAGAAATCACCGTCCTGGGAGCAGCGAGAAGCTGGAGACGGACCAGAGCATTGTAATCTCTTTCCTCAAGGCAACGTACTTTCTGCAAACACCTTTCTACCCTTCGGCACACGTCTGGAAGTACCTGCCCAACGTTTTGCCCCTTGTGCAGTTACCCTTGCTTTACCCAAATCCCAGCTCTCCCAAACCAGGCATCACGCTTGCTCTGAATACCTGCCACGTAGACCTTTTTCCTCGATTCGACCTCTGTAATTTGGACGCTGTCGAGCCTCGAGCCGTGAAGGACCCACGGGGCTCCGGCCGAAATGGTGGCAATTTTAGCCCAAGGTTGCCCAGTGCCGTTTTCCGTCGGTATGGCACTCACAGGTTGAATAACATCTATTTGAAAAGAGACGCAAGCAGCTGTGAAACACATCAGGAGTCAAGCAATCCTCAAGATTCAGCTGTTTCAAACTCACAAAGCTAAAAGTGACCTACTAAACCCCTAAGAAATCCAGTTGTGACTAACCTCCTCTCCAGAATGAGTTTTTTTCCAACTCCTCCAGCAAGGACTGACAACAAGCCATTTAAAATGCAGCAAAACGCACAGAAAGTTGTGAACAGGGGTGTTTCTTTTCAACGATGAACAATAAGAAAGCTTCTAACAGCATTTGGCGCTGCCTTTTTGGGGGCTGCAACGTGTTTCACAAGAGGAGGCAACGCCAGGGCAATCCTTTGCTAGAAGCTGGCAGACACGGGCTTGGAGAACGGAGAGGGTTCAGGGTAGATGCCGAAAGGTGACGCATGGAGCTCTTTATTCCTCACCTTTGGAGTTATGAAGGGGACATTGTGCCAGCCCTAGGATTAGGGCTTTTGTTTGTCCAACAAAGAGCTCACAAATAAGCCTAGAGCCACCGTGACAGGCCTAAACCTACTAATTCCCTCACGGGGTTTGTGCCAAGCCACCAGAGCTGGTGTGGGCCCTTGTCCCATGCCCTTTTCCAGCCCCTGCCACACAAGGGCAGGCGCTCAGGACTACACCGAACGGGACTGCCACTGCTCTCCCCCTTTCACGCCCAGGAAGAAGGGGAAGCTGGAGGTGCTCGACGCAGAGACTGCCTTGAGAAATGACTCAAGCTCAAACGTGTTGCCTTACCAGAGGCTTCTGCTGACACCTGCCAGACCTGGAGGGAGCTGTCTGGTGGGCCACTCGTCACCAGCAAGCTGAGGAAACACAAAGAACCCCAGAGAACTCTTCAGAAGCAGAGAACAGCCTTTTTTTCCCCCGGCCTGGGACAAACTGGGCTGTTGTTCCTCCTGTGCTCAGGAGCTCCCGCCTCTGCTTGCAGCAGAGAAGGGGCCAGAAGGACCATGATCCCAGAGGACCATGAGCCCAGAGCTCCTCCTGCCAGGGCGCTCTACACAACCCAGGGAAACACAGTGCCAGGCAAGGAGGACGGTGGCAAAGAGCCCCAGAGCAGCCATGGGGGCTGTGTAGGAGGAGAGAGCTGAACGAGCACAACGGATCAGCCAGAGGGAAAGCGTGTTTGCTCAGTCTGCAACCCACAGCAGGAGAAAACCTTCCGAACCTGCACACACAGAGGACTTCCAGAGCGGTGCCAGCGGCCACTCCTACCTGCCCTGCCCGCTCAGCACCTCTGAGCAGCGCCAAGGGCAGAGGGAAGGGATGGCAAAGGCGGAGCGAGGCAGTTACGCAGGCCCCCTGCTGCTCCGAAGCGGGGCAGGGAGGGACCCTGGTGAGCCAGCATCGACGTCAGCAGCCCCTGCGGCTCACTTCTGGAAGAAGCTGAGGATTTCAGTTCTCCAGAGCTTCACTTTCCCTGCCAGCTGCCCCATAAGCGGCACCACTGCAGCTTTCAACACCGCAGCAGGTTTTGCCGAGCAGCCCCGACAGACGGCTCCTCTCCAAACACCAAGACAGGGGGCTGGGAGGACCGCTGGCCAGCAGCTCCCCACCCAGACTCATGCTGCTCTCAGAGGTGGCAGCAGTGACCAGCTGGGTGGGGAAGCAGGCATGGAAAAGGATCTCTCTCTCAGCAAACAAGCCCCCTCTCCCTCTCCAATACGCCCTGGAAGGACCTCGTGGCCATACCTGGTGTCGGGCACGTATTTCAGGCTGTACACCGGGCGGTGTGAAAATCCCCCACATTCCACCTTGAAATCTCTCTCTGGACACAGGCCCTAGAAATCAGACACAAAGTCATTTCTTCACAACGCTGCAGAACTTGGTGTGGTCGGTTACCATGAAAAAAAGGGCAGAGGCACACAGCACACTCTCGCTTGGTAAAGCTCTTGCCTGTCCAGCAATGCCTCTTTCAACAGGAGCCTATAGGATTGAAGGATCCCAAAACAGCGAGAGGAAAAGAAATCTGGAGAAAGCTCCTACCCAGAGCTCTGCCTGGGTTCGTTGCCACCCGTGCAAGCCTGGCCCCGGAGCTTTCTGCTCACCTAGGGCCCAAACACCACCCGCTGCTTTTGCACAGAGGTCGCCCACCCAAGGGCCAGCCTCACTGTTCAGCAGCGTGGTCCCCCCAAGCTCGGGTGTCCTGGCAAGTCCCTTCTTCATTTGCCCTGCCGTCCTCACCCGTCCTATGTCCCCACGAAATGCTTTCATTGACACATCTGGGGATGAAGTTTGCACGGCGCAAGCTGCCTGCAGAGCAGCAGGATGGCGTGAGTGGCGTGCCAACCTGCGCTACCTCAACAGGACAGCAGCTGAGTGACTTAATGCGCTTTACCTTTCAACCGGAGCTGCTCAACCCGGCCAAGCCCTTGGCAGAGCAACAGAGACCAGGGAACACCTTGCAAAGCCCAGCCCAGCCCGGTCTCTGAAGACACCGGGTGGCCAAGGAGCACAGAGAGGCCTGGTGCCCCCCTGGCTGCAGCACCCACCTGGCTCTCATTCACCCGCAGTGCTGGCGGCGGGAGCAGCTGCAGGATCTCGTTCCCACCAGACCCTCCATACC